GTGTTCTCTTTGGCTTATTCTGGGCGTATGCAGAGGCCCTTTGGCCTGTGTTAGAGAAACGCTGTCATAACAGCATGTCCAGTTAAAGGACATAGCTTATGGGACAGTGATATGCCAAAGGTACTTTTATTACTTCAAAATATGATAGAGTAGCTTAATCTCTCTTTTTAATAAGTTATCAAATTGGAAGATAAAATGCATCCACAGTAATCTAATGAGCCATTTTGTTGCCAGAAGTGCTTGGTAAACATATGTCACAATCTTGGCAGTATGAACTATAATTAGGTATCATTTTAATGTTTTGAAGGGAACTTTCTTAATGATATTTGTGATTTTTTTTCCTTTTGTCATGTGAAGAGAAGATAACTAAAAAAAATTAAATACAGGCCCAGGTATGCACTAAATCCTGAATTTCATCTGTGATTCTACATAGACAGCTGGGCACTGCCAAGGTGACTGTGGTGGCCCCAGCATCCTTGTGCATGAGAATTGAATCACTGAGCTAGATCACTGGTCAATCTGTTTGTACAACCAAATCAGTGTTGCTGGAAGTGTCTGTCTGCAGGTCCCCTGAGAAAAACTTGGGAGACCCTCCCACAAATACACAAGTTCCAATTAAGACAATAAATATTTTTGTGATGTTGTAAGCATTTTTTGTAAATATGCAATTTTTCTGTTTAAGTATATTATTCAGATATTATTCTGAAGTACCTAAGAAAACTCCAGTGGTATTTGATAACATAATATGGCCTGTGTGTGTTTGTGTGTGTTAGTGTGTGTGTAAGTTTAAAAATAAGGATTAAGCTCATTTTAGAACTTAAAAAATAAACCATCTTAGTTTTCATATTTAAGAAACAGCAATATGGAAGGTTCATATTCTTTCTGAAATCCTGTTTAGTCATTATAGTTCAGTCACCGACATTTCAGTGATCTAATCATCGGTAATCTTTATGTATTAGGAACTTCTCCTGACATATGGATGGTGTCCAAAAGAAAGAGTTTAGTAATTCTGGGGCAGTATTTATTATTTATTTATTTATGTTTTAAATTTATTTTCATAAGGTTGTGCACATTAGTTGATTACATTCAATACTTCAACACCAATCCCATCACCATTACACCTTCCCTCCACCATTATTTCAAAATTTCCTACCACCATTTAAGCTGTCTGCCAGGGGCAGATTCTTGATAATTTATTTACTATTGCTTATTATGAATATCATGAGAGGTTCGTGACCACGTGCTTCTGGAATTCTAAAATTGTAAATGGTTGGGGTCCAGAGACATCTGTGTAGGGAGCTAATCCATTTTGAGATTCATTTGGGAGTCTCTGGATCTAGGCCATTGATGTGCTGAAATAGTGCCCAGAGGCAGATCGTGGGCATGACAGCCAGCACCCCAAGTGGACAGGGAGAAAGGAAGGGATAGCCCATCTCTGCTAATGCCATGTAGCCTTGAGTCTTAGTCCCTGAACCCATGTACCTGGGTTTTACTTCTGGAAGCTCATGTCCACTGTGCTTTCATCTGGAGTGGGTGGATAGGGCACACCCACTCCATCTGAGGTGCCCCGGTGGATTTGCCAGAGACAGTCTTTAAAGCATCTCTATACTCTTCCTGATGATAGAATGTGGTCTGAATCCTACAGTGAAGTGTGGGAATTGCAGTAAAGCAACAAACAATATTCAAAATACTGAACAGAATACAAATCAGAATACAAATCAGAACTTCTGAAAATTTTCTTGGTTATTGATCCACATTGCAACTTAATAAAAGCTTGCTTTTGAATTTTATTTTATTTTCACAATGGTTAATGTCATTAACCATTGGGGGAGGAGATTTTAGATAGAATGCAAGTCCTTGAGTTTTATTTTTATGTGAGATATTAACTGCAAATATCTCGCCATGTGGCACTGAATTGTGCAACATACATAACATTATGAGCTTAAACTTCTCTAAATAGACTAAGAATAAATGGCAAGTGAATGGAGACAGTAAATTAGATATTGAAGGAATGCCAGGAGAGAGGCATTTTTTTCTTGCATTTGACAAACTTGTGTTTGATTCCTGGAAACATATTGTCTCCTAAGATCTACCTGGAGTGGTCCCATAGAACAGAGCCAGGAGTAAGTCCTGAGCACTGCTGGGTGGGGACCAAAAACAAACAAAACCAATAAAATAGGTGTGAGCATTTTCTAAGAATGTATAAATATCATGGCAAAGATTTTGATCTTCAAAATGTCGAGTTAGCATAACTCAGAGATAGGTCCGACAATTTGATTTATACTGGTAGACTCACTTATAAGTCTGTTCAAATGAGCTCTGGTTTAAAGATTAAGCTCTTGAATCATTCACATAATTATACCTTCTCTGGTAAGCACATTTTCTTAAGGTTATTCCTTCTGTGTCTGTCCATTGAATTGTAAATAAAACCATTTAACATAGATCCTGTTTGCCTAAATCAATCCTTCTATACTCTACTTTCTCCCAAAAATTGAGCAACAATTTTTGCTACTCACAGAAAAACAAGTTTAAAGCTAGTGAAAACAAGTTAGGAAAACACAATTTGCTTTGACTTAAGATGTCTTTACTGGTATTTGAACTCTACTTTGGCTCATTTGCTCTAAATTTCTCTGCAAACATCTAGGTGGATGCATAGGAAATCATTTAAAATATGACTGATATAATATAACTTTTAATTTTTTAAGGCAATGGACAAATTTATCAAATGAAAGAGAAACTACTATGACAAAAAATAATCAAGATCCAGCTATAAATTTACATATCTTCTAAATAATTGCATTTTCAATAAATGGAATAAAGTAAAATAGGTGCCGACAGTGATAGCTCAGCAGGTGTAATGCATGCTTGGAATGTAGGATTTCTGGGCCCTGTCACCTCATGTTCCTAAGCATTACCAGAAAGAGACCTCAGGTATCAAGTCATGAATATCTCCCATAAAATAAAGCCAAAGCAAATAATAATAATAATAATAATAAAAGAATGAATATGCAAAGATAACACTATTTAAAAGAAATTGGAGTAACAGCATAATGTGAACTGTAATGCAAATTGTAATTAATAAAAATTGATTCATCAATTTTAAGTAAGTGTGAATTTTAAGTCAGTATAAATTGTGAACAATTATAAATAAAAATGCTTCATCAATATTGGCTCATCAATTGTAAGAAATGTACAGTTTTATTGTAAGATTTTATCATAGGGAAAATTTTGGATGGGAAAGTAGTTATATTGGGAGTATTCAATGTTTCTGTAAACCTAAAACCATCCTAAAAGTTAAAGTTCATTATTTCTACATAAAAAAACAATGTTATAGACTTGTATGCACTATGCAAGGTAGGTATATTATGTAATTATTTTAGGGCCGCTTATGTCATGCAGGATTTAGTTTTATCCATCAAATTGAACTTAGTGATTTGAAAAATTCTACTGTGTGCCTTTTAATGATGGCCTCTCAGTATGTATATTGCAAATCATAATGGGCAAAAAGAGAGAGAGAGAAAGAGAGAGAGAGAGAGAAGAAAAGCTCCTGCCACAGAGGCAAACTGGGGTGGGGAGGGGAGGAGAGGAGGATGGAGTGTGACAGGATGGATACTGGGGACATTGGTGGTGAGAAATTGTACACTGACAGAGAGATGAGTTTTGGAACATTGTATGACTGAAGCCTATGAAAACTTTGCAACTGTATATCTAATGTGATTCAACTAATAAAAAGTTAAACAAATGAAAATATAGAGATTCACTAACTTATCCTAAAGCACTAATGAGCCTTGACAACATGCTAAGTGAAAACCACATATTGCAAAATTTTATATATATGGACTATCCATAGTAGGCAAATTCTTACAAAGAGCATATTAATGGGACATGAAATGTGACTAATTAACAGACACATGGGGGCCTTTAAGGGTCCTTAAAATGTTCTGGAACTAGACAGCAATAACCATTAGTACTGCTGCATTTTCTATCTTAAAATTGTTACATTATACTTCATGCCATATGTGTCTAAGCACCATGATACATGAGAGATTTGGAGAAAAGAGTTTTATTATTCCAGAGATCATGATTCAAAATCTGCCATTTATATAAATGATTCTCAAAATTTTTGTGTTTTAAGTCAAGTTGCTGAAAGAGACACATAGCAGTGTAGCTTGCAAAAATTTATAAATATATTAATAAGAAAAATCTTGACCACTAAAAATATTTTCTATAGAATAAAAATATAAGATTAAAACCTTATGTTATAATAAATTTGAAAGGAAATATTTATGGAGTCAGAGACAAGAAGAGATAATAAAATAGAGGCAACAGAATGAAGTCAGGTTCTTAAAGTTTTGCATAAAATCAAAGTTTCCTGGATTGTTTACTTAATACTTAAAAAACTTGATCACAATTCTAGATATCATTTATTACCACATATTAAGTCCATTTTTATTCTTGTGACAAAAACTTTTAAGATTAATTTCCTAACTTCTCTTAGTGCATAATAACATTGTAATAGTTAATACTATAATCACCATATCATGCAGCCTGTCCCTGGAACTCACTTATTTTATATCTGTAAGAAATATAGATTTTGACCCCCTTCATTTACTCATTTATTTCCCTGATTTAGGTAGAAATGATTTTATATAATCCTATGCTATTGCAATGCATCATAACTATTCTTGAAAAAATAAGAGCAAAATAGTGGTAGAAATCACTAAAAGTTGATGATGAATTTGTCTTTCTATGTATAAATGAAATGCTTTTAAACATTGAATTAAATGCTTTTTCTTAATATTTAGAGAAACTTGCCCCTTAATCCAGAGTGAAGTATGCTCCAGTAGAAAGCTGAATGCTAGGCATTCACATTCATTCAGTCCATCAGTGAACTTTATTAAGCAAACTGAAAAGAATTTCCTTTTGATGTGCTTGATTTAAGATTGCAGTTTGTCTGTAAGTTTGATTTGTCCTCTTTGTGCTGCTAATTGTCTTTGCAGAGAGGACGTGGACCCCTCTTGTGCAGACAGAGCAGGAATTCGCATTGGCTACTGTCCCCAGCAGGATGCTCTGGATGAGCTCCTGACTGGCTGGGAACACCTCAGATATTACTGCAGCCTTCGAGGGATTCCAAAGTCGTGCATCCCTGAGGTAAGAATCCTTGGCTAATGAGAAGAAACTACAGTGCCAGTTAAGTATAACTGAATGATATTTTTAGTGTGATTATACTGAAAAAATAATAATAAAATCTGGTTATGTTGCATTTATATTGCATGTTATAAATTGATTCTTTAAGAAAGTCACATGGAAACATTAAAGCAAAACTTTAACAGTCCTTGTATTTTTTTCAGTTTGCTTCAATGATTTTCCACTTTGTTGAACTGTAATTTTTTTCTTCATGACAAATATGACTTTCAGACACAGCTCTGGAGAGTAGGACTCAGAATGTAGGATTTGATGGGCTCTTGGAAGGGATGACACTTGGGAGGATATTTGCTTTTCTGGAGTCCTTCCTGAAGCTCCAGGAGAGTGATAGAAGCTACATGTATTCTTCGTACATTCATTTCCAGTTCTAGTCTGTGAAGGGGAAGTTCTGGAGGGAGGGAACAGAAGGCTGCAAGATGAGGAAACAGGATGCTACAAACTGATCTGTGAAGCAGAGCTGAGGACTGTCAACTGAATTTCAAAAATGCAAAGTGAGAATTCACCAGAGAGTGGGTAGTTCCTTGAAGAAGTCTTGCATATTCTACCCTTCACTGTAAAGATTTGGGATACTTCTTGCATTTCTGAATTCTGAGGAAAAGAACAAAAATATATAGCTACAAGCATGATAACTGGAAGTTGGTCTGCAGAATTGAGCTTACCTGGGAAAAAGGGAGAAAGAGGGGGATTTGGAGGACACTGGTGGAGGGAAGCAAGCATTCTTATGATAGGTGTGGTTTGGGAAAGATATATGAAAGCCACTATTACAGTACTATAAATCATAGCGTCTCAATAAAAATAAAATTAGAGTATAGTGATGATTTCAACATGAACACACTAAAAACCATTATGTATCATTTAAAAAGTATGCCTAAAATAGGGATGTAACAATAGCACTCTAGCACTGTCCTCCCATTGTTCATCGATTTGCTTGAGTGGGCAACAGTAAAGTCTCCATTACGAGACTTGTTACTGTGTTTGGCATATCAAATACGCCACGGGGAGCTTGCCAGGCTCTGCGGTGCGGGTGAGATACTCTTGGTAGCTTGCCGGGCCCTCTGAGAGGGGCAGAGGAATCGAACGTGGGTCAGCCTGGGTCGGCCGCATGTAAGGCAAATGCCATACCCATTGTGCTATTGCTCCAGTCCAGATATAACAGTACTATATATATATATATATATAGTAGTATACTATATATATAGTAGTATACTACTATATATATACTACTATACTAATACTACTATATATAATACTACTATATATATATATAATACTACTAATATATATGTGTGAGCGATAGCACAGTGGTAGGGCGTTTGCCTTGCACTCAGTCAACCTGGCCGACCCCCGTTCAATTCCTCCACGCCTCTTGGAGAGCCTGGCAAGCTACTGAGAGTATCTTGTCCACGTGGTAAAGCCTGGCAAGCTACCCATAACATATTCGTTATGCCAAACATAGTAACAACAAATCTCATAATGGAGACGTTACTGGGCCTGCTCAAGCAAATCAATGAACAATGGAGAACAGTGCTACAGTGCTACAGTGCTATGTGTCAAAATCATGTTTTCCCTAGCCCAAGAATATTGTTTGCGCTGCTAGGTGGTACTTCAGCCCCCATTTCTTACTTATGTTCTGTGATTTTAAGTAAAACTGGGACGGAATCTCTCCACAGTCTTGGAGGGCTCTTGCTTCCTTTACCATTTACAGATCTCTCATCTCTTAGGGTTTATTTGTTTTCTTGGAAGGTTGGGGCACACCCTGGCGATGTACTCTAGGAATTACTCCTGGCAGTACTCTGGATACCATATGGAATGCCAGGAATTGAACCTGGATAGCAAGTACCCTACTCCTGTAATATCTCGCTGACCTCAACCTCAGATTTTGACTAAAAAGAAGGATGTTTGTTGAGTGCATCAACTGGTCTCTTTGATATATTTGGGAAATGTGCCTTTTGAATAAGTTATTTATATAGTAAGGTTTGGCACTTCTGGTTATCTAAGGTACTGATAAAGGCAGCTCTTCCTCCCCCCCCTTACCCCCCCCTCCCCCACAAGCAATGAATTTCTTGGGAAATAGTAGCATCAATAGACTTGAAGTTGCAAAAAGCCAACTTTGTAGGAAAAAGGAACTAAGGCCTGATAAAAGTATCACCTACAGACTTAGAGAAAGCTGGAATAGCACTGAGAGAAGCTCCAGTAGAGAAAAAAGGACAGGAAAGAAATTTAAATACCATCAACCACTCCCATCTCTATCCCTTTAACAACTTCCCTAAAAATAGACTTTTACCTAGGAAGAAGCCCTGTGTGGGGACAAGTTGGAAAAACCCTATAAAAGCCACCTTGAGGAAGGAAGGGCTTGCTTATGGTGCCTGAGCCCATGTGCTGCTTGTGCCCACAATGCTGAGCACCTGAGCTTGTTTGTTGCCTGCATCTCCTCTCTTGAGATGTGTGTGTACTTTCCTATTTAATGATGCGATGTGTGTAAGGACTTCTCTGCCTTTAGGGAAGCCCACAGTCTCTCTTAGATGTGTTACTCTCTACTCTTTCCCACTTTCTCTCCCTCCTTCCCTTCAAAAACCTCCAAGTAAAATTTGTTGTACTTCACTGCTCATCTACTCCTGAAATTCTATTCTGAGAGGTGAGACAAGAACCCCCAAACCCTGGGTAAGGCCTGGAACTGACTGCTCCTTTTCCTGCAAAGAATAAATCTTGCTCCAACCTAAGTCCGTCGCTCCCCAAGAAATCAGGTGGTGGGGATCAGGTCCCATACCTAAAAGACCAAGGGATGTCAAGTGTGACTGGACAGCCACCTAGTGGTGCTGGCGTGGCTCTGGCCCATGCCAAGCAGGGGCTCATCGCAGACTTTATCGGTCTTAATCTTCCCAGTGGGTCCTGGAGTGACATAGGTGGATCCAGAGAAGGTGACTGACTCCTCCCCACCTCCCATAAGCCATCCATGCGCTCCACTGACATCAGTTCTAACTTCCTGCTATTAAGACTCAGAATTCCTTCACTAAGAAATATCATTATAATGGTTGTGCATTAGACACTGTCTTCATTTTCTTTTTAAAATGCAATTGATTTTGTAGATAGGATTGCTATTTTTTTAGAGGGCTCTTTTAAGTCAGCACCATTTCTTAACTATGATCACAAAGCAAACTTCCCTATGCTATACATTTTGGAAATATTTATATATAAAATTGCCATACTCTATTGAATGTGCTTACTCTAAGATGACTAGAACCAATTCCATAATTAAGAGAAAACAATAGTTTAAGCTAATATTCTTAAACTAAACATTTGTTTTAAGGGCTAGTTAAAGAATTCTAAACTAAGGTAACTTAATTTGCATAAATTAAGCTAATACTTTTTCTAAATATTTTGCAGCAACCTTATTACATATAAAATATTCCCTTCCACATTTTTGGAAGGCCCTCCCGTTGATCATCGATTTGCTCGAGCGGGCCCAGTAACGTCTCCATTGGAGACTTTGTTGTTACTGTGTCTGGAATGTCAAATAATCACTAGAGAGGGGAAAGAAACTTAGCCTCATTATATGCCTATAGTATTTTTATTATTCAGAAAAGTCACTTCTTGATCAGCCATTCTCCTAGAGCTTATTATTTGCAGTTTTTTACTTATACAAGCTGGAATGCCCACTGTCAGTGCCACTGTCTGCTGCTGTAGCTGGGAGAGAAGTGCTTCCCGTATGGGTCTCCTTCCTGTTTCCTCTGACAAGATTTTTTTTTCCCTTTCTGTGCAATCATATAATGACTAGGAATTCCCTGCGGCTCTCTTTCATCTCCTGCATTTGGTGGTCTTTGGCTGCTTCCCCTACCCAGAAAGGCTGATGCCCTGGGTGGATGAAGGAGGAAACTAGGGCCAGACTGGTTGGTGATGAGTTCCCGTTTATTCCATTCTGCCTACGTGCCTGCTCCAGGCTCACTATGCTTCCCATTCCAGTCTCCTTCTGCTCCACCTGTTAGTCTCTCTGCACTACCCCTCACCACCATGGTCTCTCTCTAGTTTCTCTCCATCTCCCAGCATTGGGAGTAGCAACCACACACCTAGGTCCAGTAGCATAATCAACATATCAAAGCCCTTTCTGATCGCCTGCAGCCAGATGAAGCTCAGGGGCAAAATACCACCTAGAGGTTTTTCTCCTTTCCCTAGTCCAATAACTTAAATACCACCTTAATTAACACCTTAATTCTACTTCTTAATATTAGTCATTTTATATGGACACAGTAAGAGATAAATTAAGCTTGTAGGGTGGCTCTCCTGGGAATATCTCACTATGGATCCTAGACTACAGTGCTCAGGCCAGGTGAGCCCTTCCTAACCCTAAGCAGGGTCGTTGTCTAGTTGTTTCTCTTTGGATTATGATAATATTTGTCCATGACATGCTCTTAACTTATACTTAAGTATTATGGCGCTTTGACATGGTCCATTTTGATGCCAGGGTAGCTCACAGCTTGACCTTGGTTCCTCCAGTCCCTCGGCAGGACTGCTTTTGGGGATCTAGGAAGGGCAACTGAGGCTTAAGTCCAGAAAATGATGCCCAGGAATGTGTATCATTAGGAGTCAATTAACTCCCAAGTTACAAAACCAAAGCATTAACTGTCTTCTTTTGTCTATACAAAAAGGACATTACTCTGAATTAACTATGCAAAGGACTTAAGAAGAAGAGAAAAACAGTATTTACAAGTTAACAGAATCTAATTAGTACATAAAGGTGACTGACTGGTTGGAGAAGCAAAGCACTAAGAAAGAGGTCACAAAAAAACAGAGGAATGGGAGCACTGTGATGGGAGTAACCCAATGAACCTAAACTCCCTGTGGCAAGGAAGAAAGGACAAATCAGTGTTATCCTACACCCTTCCAAGGCTGAGCTTGGGTTACTTTGTGCCTCATCTTCTGTTTAATCACAAAATAAATGAATGTGGGCAGAGGTGTGGTCTCTTTCGCTTGCTACATGCCTTTGGTGGCCATGAGTCGCTTCCCCACTCTGGCCTACAGCCACCAATACATGCTTGAAAGATGGAACAGGGCCGCCATACTAGTTCGTGATCAGTCGTAATTGATTCCAATCTTGTCTCCTCTGCCTTTTTCCAGTTTCACCTACTCCTGGATTCCTCCTGTCCCCCATGTGGCTCTCTCCTCTCCCTGCGCTCTGTCTTGCAGCCTTAGTCTAGATCCCTAATCAGCCCAATCATTCATGGTATCAACTACCCCTAGGTCTGATAGCATAATCAACATAGGTAAAGCCCTTCCCTTTCTTCCTGGGAAGCTCTTCTAGGACAAAGATACCCTGCTTGGAGATCCTATCAAGGGCAGAATTTCATCTAGGGGCGTGCTTCTCCTTTCCTTAGTCCAACCACTTAAACAGTTATCTTAATTACACTTTTTAATAACATTAGTCATTTTGTATGGACACAGTAAGAGATATATTAAGCTTATAGGGTGGCTCTCCAGGGGACATTTCGCTTTAGGTCCCAGACCGCAGTGCTCAGGCCAGATGAGCTCTTCCTAACCCTAACAGGGTCGTTGTCTAGTTGTTTCTCTTTGGATTATGACAGAATTTGTCCATTACTGTGCTCTTAACTTACAGTTAAGTATTATGGTGCTTGGCCTGGCCTGTTTTGATGCAGGATAGCTCACAGCTTGACTTGGGTTCATCCAGTCACTTTGTCAGGACCCTGCTTTTGGGGTACTAGGAACTAAGAGCAACTGAGTTGAGAAAATATGAGAGATGCCCAGGATTAAATAATATTCAGAGTCAATTAACTCCCAAGTTACAAAAGCATAGCATTAACTGTTTTCCTGTCTCTGTACTAAAACAAAACTGCTCTAAAGTGAACTATGTAAAGGACATAAGGAAAAGAGAAAAGCAATATTTCACTTTCCAATACAAATCCAGAGATTTCTGAGGAATTTGATTTCACAAGTCACAGGTACTGTTTAGGGAAAATAGGTGATTAACCAGTTGGGGGAGAGAGCACAGAAAATCAGGCTTAACTCTTTTGCAAACCATAACACCCAAAAGGAGAGAGAGAACAGAGGGGAATGCCCTGCCACAGAGGCAGTTTGGGATGGGGGGATTGGGGGGTGGGGTGGGGTAGGAGGGATACTGGGATCTGTGATGGTGGGAAATGGGCACTGGTGGAGGGATGGGTATTCGAAATAAATAAATAAATTTTTAAAAAAAGATAAAAACTAACTAGAAGGAAAAATAAGACAGAGAAATGGGAATGTCTCAGGAGCACTGTGAATGGTGTAACCCAATAAACCTAAGCTGCCTGCGGTAAAGAAGAAAGAACATACCAATGTTATCCTACAATATTCCATCTTTTAGGACTCCGAAGTTGATATATCTTCTGATATATTTGCTACTCATATAGATTATCTTTTTTGGGTTGGTATCTTTTTTAATCATGGGATGGGCAGTCACAGCAGTTATTTCTGTGATTTTGGCATGAAATCCTTTGTTTCTGAGGAAATGTTAAGTCCCGAGACAACCCTTCTGTTCCTCAGCTAAGTCTAGCCTTGTTCCAGATTTCATCAGCATGTCTGAGTCCCAGCTGATTATTGACCCTTTCCTTATTTTTAATAAATTCATGATTTATAGTCTGTGTAACAACATTTAGGTTTTTAGTAAAATTGTTAAACATTGAAATGTTTCCTGGTTTCATAAAATAAATGTTCACATTTGGACAAGCTTATTTAGAAACTTTTGTCTCATACTTTTTTTCACTGAATTTTTAAAATGTTATTTTATTTTACTTTTTCCTTATCAACTTTAATTTATATAATGCTGGTCTTTGGATAAAGAAGATGGGAATAAAATATTGTATATTCATTGTAATTTCAATTTTGTTTTTTTCTACATATCTGAAAATGAAATAGAAGTTTGTCAGTGTGTCATTTTGTTGAGCCCATTGCTTCTCTGGCAGTGATAACTATATAATGGTATTCCCTTCCCTTAGATACCTTTCCTTCATGTAAATGACACCTTATTTCTCAGTGAGGTTCCTATCATGTTCTGACCTTATGTGATTATTTATGAAAGATATTGTAGCACTGTAGCACTGCCCCCCCATTGTTCATTGATTTGCTCAAGTGAGCACCAGTAACGTCTCTATTGTGAGACTTGTTGTTAATGTTTTTGGCATATTGAATACATCACAGTAGCTTCTAAAAGATATTATCTAAAGAAAATAGTGAACACAGTATATAATTATTGTTTTAATGCCAGCCATTATTTTACTTCATCTTCATGAAGTAGTACATCTAGTAATTTTGTTCTGAATCATTTAAACTTATTAAGCATTTATTTTTATGCACTTTTATCAAAGACATTTTAATTTATACAATACTAGTATTTGGATAAAAGAAGATGGGGAAAATATAGTATATTCATTGTAATTTCAATCTTTTTGGGTTTTATTGCATATCTAAAAATGAATGCAAGTTTCTCTTACACTGAAGGAAGCCGTGTTAATCTCAGGAAAATTATATTATTGGTTGAAGTAAGAATAAAGTAATGACCTCTAGACAATGATGTTATTGGCAGATAATAAGAAATTAAAGATTATACATAGGAAATTTTGATCCTTGAAATTTGCTTTCTTTTTAATATCCTCAGGTTATCTCTATCTGGGTTTTATTACAACTCACTTCCTGCCCAGTTTCCTTTTTTAAAAAATATAAACCTTTTACTTGACTATTGTAGATTTGCAACATTATGAATGATAATGTAGTAATTTCATACCTTTACACGCAGGTGTAACTCTTCCCACTATAAAAAATTTAGTGTCATACTACCATATAAAAATATTCCTCAGTTCATTTCTCTCTTCCTCTTCCATTATACAGTGATAGCTACCATAGTTTTCTCTGCATTTAGAAGTTTGCTTCTTGTTAGTTTTTGCTCTTTAGTAATTAATCTTCTACAATTTTGTAAATCAATCTAATAATTGTCTTTTCCTTTCTTATTTCACTTAACCAAGCAACTTCAGTCTAAATTTTGGCTAATTTTTCTTCTCACTTTGATTTGGATTTGTTTTCTGGGCTCAGTCTTGCCTAAGTTATAGCAAGCCCTGCTTACTTCGGTCCTGACTCAAGGATGTTAATACCACAGTGTTGACCTTTAACTGAAAAACTGAGATTATCAAACTGGGGACAGGAGGAAGAAGTGAGAAGGAAGAGGTGGACTAGAAATGACAAAGTGATAGAGGGTCTTGGGCACTATGGTGGTACTGAAGGTTTAGTAAAACCATGAAATTTAACATCATTCTAACTATATTAACTAAACTACAAATTAAAAGTAACCATTTTTAAACAAGATAACTTTGATATTTTACAGATTCTAAAACTGAACTGAATAGTTTTCAATTATCCATTTGAAGCGAGGGAAGGTATTTCAGGAACAGTGGAAATCTGTAATGCAGTGAACAGGATGTTGGGAGGAAGGGTTAGGATTCATGATTGAGAATGTTCTTCAGTGAACAAATGTTTTCAAGGAGAGCATCTATTTTCCAGGTTGCTGGGGACCTCGTGCAGCGTTTACACCTAGAAGCCCATGTGGACAAACCTGTGGGCACCTATAGTGGTGGTACCAAGCGGAAGCTCTCCACAGCCCTGGCCCTCCTGGGAAAACCTGATCTTCTTCTATTGGTGCGTTGTAGAAATTTCAAATTATCAGTGACCTCAAATCATCTGTTCCTTCACAGAAAAATTCAAAATTTGAAATGTATGTTTTTGAACTAATAAACTCTTTGCCTTAAAATATTTTCTAACTTGCAAATGTATCTTTTAATCATCTCCTATTTCACATCGAAGATTCAATAAAACTTTTACTTGTAAAATAATATTTTAAAAGGATACCTGAATGTACCTTTAATCTGAATACAAATATACACTTATCATCTAATTAATTATCTCTCAGGGTTTTCTTACCTGCAGATATATTATTGTCATAGCTATAGAGATACCACCAAGAGTGACCAACAGTGAATCTTGAGGAAGTGTTTGGAGACAATATAGATTGTTGTAGAAGAGAAATAATTCAACCAGAGAACTGAGCTTTATCAGTTACTTTACAACAATGTCATTTGTAATATATAATTAAATTAAGTTAATCCATTAATTATAGGTGTCCAGTGTCAAGACACAGAACCAGTTGTCTTTAACTTAAAAATAGCCAATGACAATTTAAAAACAATAAATTAAAGTTGTTCCTGTTCTATACATTAAACTCTAGTCACTAGAATTCCTCATAGAGCTTTGTAATTGTAGAAATTTTGATGAATATAAAAAGATTGTCTCTTTTGCTTGCCAAATATATATTTCCATTATAGTTTATTAATTAGAAATAGCGCTTCAATGCTTCAATGTGGAGATTATTGAATTTGTAAAGACTGTATAGGAAAGATGATTCTATCATGTTCTGCTATCTTAGATGGATTTTCATCTTACTATATCTATTTGCGTGTTTTTTTTCAAGACCCCAAATCAAGATGATTGCATAATTCTGTATTCTGAAAACGGCAATAAGAACTAACATTTCTATAATTATTCAGTTTGCAAACTATGTTTTCTTTCTAAGAAGGAAAGTGGCTATATAATTTCAGCAGAATTATCTCTTGTGCAGTTTTGCTCAGCACATCTCTAGTTAGGATGGGGTCAAGTCGCACTCACAGCAACCCTCACATTTTCGTCCCACACAGCTGTGCTCTTTGTTTATTTCTCATTACATTATTATGTCGATTTGCTCGAGCGGGCCCAGTAACGTCTCCATTGGAGACTTTGTTGTTACTGTGTCTGGCATATCGAATACTCTCGGTAACTTGCCGGGCTCTCCGAGAGGGGCGGAGGAATCGAACTCGGGTCGGCCCATGTTGGCCGCTTGTAAGGCGAACGCCCTACCCGCTGTGCTATCGCTCCATGAAGGTGGAAATCTGAATTAATTGTTGGGTTCCAATTTTTATTTTTGTCTCAATGATATCTTGCATGTATTGTGCATGTATCCCTATTGTCTGAAAATTTCCCAATTATTGTGTCTGTCTACTGGAGTCCTTACATATAGACAGACATGAACTCCATAGCTATATACACTTTAATGACTATGATGATGGTGAGAATTTGTGTCTCTGTTGGAATATACATTTAACACACTTAGGTTCTCCCCTCAAAAACTCACAGTAGCCACTAATATAAAGGGCAGAAAGATTTAGGATTATATATAAAAATCTTTAAATTTATGATTATATATAAAAATGCTAAAAATCTTAGGATTACATTTAAAAATTTTTATGATATATGAATAGTCACTATTTACTTATTTTATATGAGCAGTACTCATATATCGCTGGGTTTGCAGTTGTTTATTTTTCTATACTGTGCCATTCTTTTGCTCAGTTCTTCTGTTCCCACAAACACCCTTCCTTTTAGATGATCCTAAGTCGGATAATGAATATTTTTAGTACTCCTCAAGTATAGAAAAAAAACAGAAATACATTATACGGTGTAGAAATTTCCCTCTCAGAAGTGGTTCAAATAAGTGTTCTCATATTTATTGAAGTAGAGAACTTTAGGTTCTAAGGAATTTCTCTTTGATTGATGTTGTTAAGTAAATGAAACCTTCTACTTCCTTGTAGCCTTCTAGGATATATTATCCTGAAATTTAAGAGAGGTTGAGGATGCATCAAGGGCAATCTACCTAACAAGATGACCAAAGAAAATATGGTTGACAGGAAGCTGTAGCCCAAGCTTGCTGTGTGCAGTGCATGGCAGCGGGGAGCACTATCTGACTAAGCCAGAGGACCATCCTCCCTGGCCAGGTCTGGTCTCTATATGCCATGTGCTTGCTTCCACGTGACTCTCCCAAGGCCCATCTCTCTGTTTTCTTCTTTCAGGATGAACCCAGCTCTGGGATGGATCCCTGTTCTAAGCGGTACCTGTGGAAAACAATAATGAAGGAGGTTCGAGAAGGCTGTGCTGCAGTGCTAACATCCCACAGGTGAGTTTTGTCCTTTCTCCCAGACAGGCTGAGGAGCAGAGTTGTGGAACGCACAGTTCCAAGCTAGTGCTATCCAAGCTGTGATTCATTCCTATAGCAACACTATAATGGAAATATAACTATCAGTCTCATGTACTATTCAGTTCCCATTGTATAGATGAGTAATCAGGAAGGACACACAGCTGTAGGGAGACATAGATGCAAACTGAACCAAAGGATTTGTCATTAACAACCTACTTGCCTTATACGCTATTAGTGTTTCAGAGATTTGTTATTAACTGAACCTTTACTTTGTCTTACCTCAGTGGAAAAAATAAACTGAAATGATTTGTAAAAGGTGTCTTCTTTAAACTCATATAGTCCCTTCTTCATAGACTCAATCTTGTCATCTGATTTCAAAATATTGCCTTATTTTTCACTTTGTTCAAAGCTAATCTCAGATTTCATAAAATTCAAGCATACAAATTAAGTCATATGAGTTGTTTACTAAACATTCCGAGATTAAATGGAGATCAAGCTCCTTTTTAATTGAATCACCATGAGATACACAATTACAAAGCTGTTCGTGATTGGGGTTCAGTCATACAATGTTCCAACATCCATCCCTTCACCAGTGTACATTTCCCAACCACAATGTCCCCAGTCTCCTGCTGCCAGCCCTCTTCCCAACGCCCCCTACCCCAACCTGTCTCTATGGCAGAAACTTTTCTTCTTTATCTCTCTCTCTACTTTAATACAGTATAGTATATATTTGCAATACAGATACTGAGAAGTTATCATATTTGCTCCTTTATATACTTTCAACACACAGTTCTTATCCAGAGTGATCATTTCCAACTATTTTTTGTCATAGTGGTCCCTTCTCTATCCCAGATCAGGCTTTTTTGATTAGACTGTATTTTCCCATGATGTAGGTACAATGTGATCTAAAATATATATATATGAATCTGAAATTTTACTTTACTTGAAAGTTAACAAAATTGATGTGGCTAGTTTCCTGAATGCTTGCAGAAGACACAATATCCCTGAGAGAGAAATTTTTGTACTCATGATGAGAATAGTAGTGAGAATGTCATGATGAACATTTCTTAATTGACTGAGTTTCTTTTTCTCTGAAAGGTCATATAGAGAGTCACTCAGTTGACATTAACTATGTTCCTGTCCTGTCTCCTTCTGACATCTGTTGCATGTGTGTGCAGCCTTGCAGATTGTATATATGTTGCTAATACTAATTTTAGCCTACTCAAGTCCATCTCTGTTCCCAATTGGCTCCATTGGCATCAGATATGGTCAAACTATTGCTGTGTATTGTAGACCATAGAACATAGCTCCATTCAACGTTGTTAGAGAAACTGTCTTTAGTCTGTTCCAACCATATAACTCTATGTTGATAAAGATAAAGAGACTAAAATTATTATTTACTTATTCAAAGTTTGGCATTTGTTTATGTTCCATTTGTTAATTTACAAAATTCTTTCTTTTTGGGGAGGGGGTCACACCCGGCGATGAACAAGGGTTACTCCTGGCTTTATACTCAGAAATTACTCCTGGCAGTGCTCAGGGGACTATCTGGGATTCTGGGAATTGAAACTGGGTTGGCCGTGTGCAAGACAAATACCCTACCCGGTATACTATCGTTCCAGCCCCTACAAAATTCCTAAATTGGTGATTTTATTAATTTTGTCAACTTTTTTGTTGTTTTAAGATAAATAATTTGTCAGTGTCCACTTGACCACAGTAAGAAATCTTGCTCTTTTCTCTTTTCTTCTTTTCTTTAGAAAATGAAAGTTTATGTTGAAATTAAGTGTAATAAGAGAGCTATCATAAAGTATTATCAACTTAAAATATTTTTAAATTTTGTGAATTATTTTTTATTGAAGTGCTATTTGCTAAATCTTTATGCTCTTGGGTAGATTCTAAGAGTTTATAAACTAGTATCATGTTAAAATTTCCTCTTAAATGAACTATTGTGAACCACTTTTATGAAAATAAAATATATAAAAATACAAAAATAAATAAATATAATTTCCTCTTAGTTCTCATGTAGCAACTACTTACCAGACACTTTTAAGAAAGACTGCATATTGCTGTGGTTTCTCCTTTATGACCTATTTACTTTAAAATGTAACTTTAGGCCTGGAGAAATAATATAGCAGGTAGGGTACTTGCCTTGTACACAGTCAAGGTACTTGCCTTGTACACAGTTCAATTCCCTGGCACCACGAATGGTTTACAGGGCCCCACCAGGAGTAATTCCTGTAAGGAGAGGAAGAAATAAGCCTGTGTACTGCTTGGTATGGCACCCAAAGAAAATTATCTTTAGTTATGTAAATACATTCATATTCATGCAATATAAAAGTCTAAATGACTCAAGACTGATGAAAACAGGAAATGTTTTGATTGATTTAGGAATTTTTAACACAGTAGATTTCAGCTGACGATTTTAAAATTGTCCAATTGTCTCTTAATTTGATGGTCACTTCTTCCATTTTTTCCTACTTTATTTTAAAGGACTATGGCTATAGCATGGGGCAGAAGACTGAGAATAAGAACTTTATATTCCATTTACTTACTAAAAGGAATTGAATTTAGTGTAAAATGAAATGATCATTCCTGGCTCACTTTCATTAATTTTATAACTATTCTTCTAAGGATATAATTTTAACTAACTATATAATTAGTTGGGCAGGGCATTTGCCTTGCACGCAGGCCAGCCCAGCTGAGCCAGGTTCAATTCCTCCACCCCTCTTGGAGAGCCTGGAGAGCTATCAAGAGTATCTCGCCCGCGTGACAAAGCCTGGCAAGCTACCCGTGACGTATTCAATATGCCAAACACAGTAACGACAAGTCTCACAATGGAGATGTTACTGGGCCTGCTGGAGCAAATCAATAAACAACGGGAGGACAGTGCTACAGTGCTGTATAATTAGTTACATAAATAAAATATTTTCAATTTAAATTTTTTGCTTTGAGGAGATTTTCATATAGACAATAAATTGATGTACAATAAAAATATTTGTGTCTACTTGTTAATTTCAATGTTTAGTTCAAGCATCTTCTTTCCTTTTTTTTAATACATGAAAATAGAATCTTGCTTTTCAATTATTGCACACTAGGAAGAGAAAATAAGGTGTCCACTTTTAGCTCTTGACACAAGGTGAGCTAGGAGGCAGAGCCTTGTCTCTTCTGAACACATCTTTAACTTGTTTCTTTTCTCCCCCCTAGTATGGAGGAATGTGAGGCGCTTTGCACAAGACTCGCCATAATGATTAATGGCAGCTTCCGCTGCCTTGGTTCTCCCCAGCATATTAAAAACAGGTACTCCAAATTTTCTTTTTTCAATTGAAATGGTTGCTTAAATCAGTATTAAGATAATGTTATGTTTTAGTGAAGGCACTGGGCCAATAAATCATGGCATAAAATAGGAGGTGAAAAAGTGAAGTGAAGGTTGTTTGTATGTATGTATGTGTGTATATATGCATGCAAAATATTATCAGCAGAAAATTAAGACCCTACACCTCCCCAACATGGAGTCCAGGGGAAGATATTTTATATCTATGAGGACCCATTCATAAGCTTTTTTCTCTTACTCTTCGTTTTTACTTCTACCAGAGGATACATTAGGACCAAGAGATAAGGGTAGTTGGGGATAAGATTGAGGAGTAAGATGCAAAGATTAGGAATATGACCTCCTGGACACAAAATAACTTGTAGAAAGGTCATGCCCAATCTTGTTCTGAGAAAATCATAGTGCTTCACCTTTAAAAGTGACTTCCCTACAGGGTAAAAGTGTGTAACATCATGCCAATATTGTCCCATAGTTCCTCCTTACTTTACTCACTCTTGAACACGCATCAATTTATGGATTCTTAGTTCTAATATTTTTATTTATTTTTTTATTGGTGAATCATCATGAGGTACAATTACAGACTTACAAACTTTTGTGCTTGTGTTTCAGTCATACAATGCTCGAATACCCATCCCTCCACCAGTGCCCGTTCTCCACCACTGATAATCTCAGTAACCCTCCCAATCCCGTCACCCTATCCCCCATTCCCCACCCCACCTCAGTGGCAGAGAGTCCCTTTCTCCCCACATCTACACCAACACCTGTTGCTTTTGTTGTTTTGGATGTGGGCCAATCTCCGTGGTGTGCCATGATATCTCTCATTGTTGTTTTGATCTGCATCTCCCTGATGATTAGTGATGATGAGCATTTTTTCATGTGCCTTTTGGCCATTTGGATTTCTTCTTTGAGAAATTTTCTGCTCATTTCACCACTTTCTGATGTAGTTGGATGTTTTCTTCTTGTGGAGTTCAACCGGTGTCTTGTAAATCCTTGCTGTCAACCCTTTATCAGATGGGTATTGGGCGAATATTCTTTCCCATTCTGTAGACTGTCTTTGTATTTTGGTCACTGTGTCTTTTGATGTGCAGAAGTTTCTCAGTTTAAGGTAGTCCCATTTGTTTATCTCTGTTTCCACTTGCTTGGCTAATGGAGTGTCACCTTTAAAGATATCTTAAGCTTCAATGTCTTGGGGGTTTTGCTGTTCTTGTCTTCAATGTACCTCATGGATTCTAGTCTGATGTTGAGGTCTTCAATCCATTTTGATCTGACTTTTGTGCATGGTGTTAGGTAGAGGTCTGCGCCCATTTTTTTGCATGTAGCTGTCCAGCTTTGCCAGCACCATTTGTTTAAGAGATTTTGATTCCTCCACTTCACTTTTCTTGCTCCCTTATCAAAGATTAGATGATTATATATTTGAGGGTGTGTGTCAGAATATTCAGCCCTGTTCTATTGGTCTATGGCTCTGCCTTCGTTCCAGTACCATGGTGTTTTAATTATTACTGCTTTGTAGTACAGGTTGAGATTGGGGAGGTTGATGCCTCCCATATTCTTTTTCCCAATAATTGCTTTAGCTATTCGTGGTTGCTATTGTTCCGGACACCAATTATTAACAATTTTAGAATTCCAGGAGTGCGTGGCTGCAAAAGTGGTCAGATGACATCTCATGATATCCATAACAAGCAATAGAAGGCTGGAGCTATAGCTTCCGGAAGCATTCCCGACTGCGAGACATCTTATTATCTAGTTCTTATTCTGGAGAACGTGGCAGGCTAACAAAAGTATACTACCTGCTTGGCAGAGTCTAGAAAACTCCCTGTGGCATATTTAATATGCCAAAAACCAGTAACAATGATGGGTCTCATTTCCCTGACCTTGAAAGAGCCTCGAATGTGGCACTTTCTAAATCTCTGGGCTAGGAGGAAGGAGATGTTGCTGGTGCCTGTTTGAGGAAATCAATGAACAACAGGATGACTGTTATTCAGTGATTTTTTTTTATTGAATCACAGTGAGATTCACAGTTACAAAGTTGTCACAATTGGGTTTCAGTCATCCAATGTTCCAATATTCATCCCTTCAACATTGTACATTTCCCAGCAGTGTCTCCAGTTTTTTTCCCCTCCTTACTTAGGAAAGTTTTTTTCCCCTACTTAGAAAAACTATGGCAGGCATTTTTCTTATATAATATAATATATATTTATTTCCCAAAATAAATAGTCATTTTATCTCTTTCTTTCTGGCTAAATTTACTCATCATAATATTCTCAATGTCCAACCATTTATAAGCAATATTTATGACTTCATTTTTCCTAATAGCTGTATAGTACTCCATTGTGTAGATGTACCATAGTTTCTTTATCCAGTCATCTGTTCTCAGCAGTCAGGGTTGTTTCCAGATTCTAGCTACTGTGAATAGTACTGCAATAAAGATAGAAGTGCAGAAGACAGAAGACATTTTTTTCTGCGTATTTTTTGGTCCCTGGGGCATATTCCCAGAAGTGATATTGTTAGGTCAAATGGGAACTCAATTTGTAGTATTTTGAAGAATGCCCATTTTCTTTTCAAAAAAGGCTGGGCCAGTGAGTATTCCTATCAACAATGAAAGAGAGTCCTTTTCTCTCCACATCTGAGCCAGCACGGTTTGCTCTTGTTCTTTTGGATGTGTGATAGTCTCTGTGTTGTGAGATGATATCTCATAGTTGTTTTGATTTGCATCTATCTGATGATTAGTAATGTAGAGTATGTTTTCATGTGGTTGAATTTCTTCTTTGACTAAGTTTCTATTCATGTCTTTTCCCCATTTTCTCCAACTTCAAATTATGTTACAAAATTATAGTTATTAAAAGATGACATTGTAATAAAAACAGACCTTGAAGACCAATGGAATAGAGTTAAATATCCTGAGATAGACCCTCAAATATATGATCATTTAATCTTTGATAAAAGAGAAAGAAATTTGAAATGGAGCAAGGAAAGCCTCTTCAACAAGTAGTACTGTTAAAACTGGGAAGCTACAATCCAGACCTCTTTCTAAACCATGCACAAAAATAAGATCAAAATGAATTAAATAGCTCAACATCAGACCTGAATACATATGGTACATAGAAGAAAATGTAAATAAAAGCCTCCATGACATTAAATATAAATTCATTTTCAAAGATGAAACACTGCTGACCAAGCTAGTGGAAGCAAACAGAAACAAATGGGACTGCATGAAACTAAGAAACTTCTACATCTCAAAAGAAATGGGAAAAATTATTTACCAAATAGCCATTTGATAAAGGGTTAATATCTAAAGATATATAAGTCACTGATATAATTTTACAAGAAAAAAATCATCAAATCAAACCAAAAAATAGGGACATATGAATAGTTTTCATAGTGTATATTTTTTCCAACACAGTGGTAAGATTGAGGATCATTCTTTTGGTGCAGTCCTAGTTATGTCCTTACTCATTTAGTATAATAGTGGATCTCTTTGTCTTCTTCCTTTACTACCCGGCTGTTAAGCTCTACAAATTATTAAGTGATTGTTCTATTGTTTTCAACAATTCCTGGGCATGCATATTATTCAACATTGCAATCCAGTAAAACTGACTCCTTTATACCTTCCAAAGTAGTTTGAGATTTGTTCTCAGTTTTCCTTTCTTTAGTTTTCTCTTGAAACGTAACCAATTTATCATTTTGTTTTGTTTGTTGGAGATTTAACCCAGGTCAGCTATACGCAAGGCAGATGGCATACTCACTGTACTGTCTCTCCAGCCCTGGTTTACATTTTTGGCTATATTTTCTTGGATATATACATTTTTCCCCAATGATACTTCACAACGACTTCCCATGTTGTTGTTCATAGACTCAGATTCTTTAGACTAAAATTCAAAATAATCTGTTTTAGCCCTACTGGCTCATAAGACAAAGTCTTAAATTCTGTAATGAAGACAATGTGTGATTTTCTCTAAGGGACTACTTGCTGGATTTTCTGAGTACTCAGGAAAGGTGTGTGAACAGTAACATATGCTTTTTTTCATTTATCTCTTGAATAAATTCATTAATGGAAGAAAGGGTTTCTTGACCCCAGTGTTCTTAGTAGGCTATGGCCAAAATAGAGCTAACATATCATAAATGAGGGTTCAGAAAAGTAGGAAGCCTCTACTTCTTTGTTGCACTTTTCTAGAATTTATCTTCACTCTCAGTAACTTGAACAGAATAAGAAATGCTGGCATTTGGAAAGAAAGCCCTGTGTTCTACTAGTTTTCCATTTTCTTGGTCTGGAGTGAGAGACAAAAAAGCAGGTGGCAAGCCAAATATAACATAATCTTGCATTTCTCATTAAATTTATTGGAATTTACTTTTTACTTCCTGTATGCAGAAAGTCCTTTATTAGTGGTTACTTTATGAGTGGTTACTTTTATAATTTTCAACGAGTAAGGTGTCCATATAGGTATTTTCATTGTGCTGGAAGCCTTTCTAGTATATTTGAGGTAGATAGTTGGGCAGGGGTCCCTTGGAAAAGAATTTCAGAAAACACATAAAACAAGATAATATTTGAAAAGAGTTTTCTTGATTTGCCCCAAGCCAAAGACCAAGACACTCAACTGAACCCAGACTTAAAACAAGCTTCAGGCCCAAATTTAAGACTGACTCAGCTCAATGACTCATATCTCCACACTTTATTTTAAACTCTGTTGTTTATGAAGTGGTTAATGATGATTTCTTACAGGCATTCAACATTCCTATACCAATCCCACCACTACTGTCATCTCCCTTAACCTTTAACTCCATTTTCCCATCCAGCTCTCAAACCTGCCCCCATTGCAGATCCACAGTATTTTATCTTCTATTGCTTTTTTACCACTAAATGGCTAACGGGGTGATTAAAAATATTTCTATAGAAGTAAATTTAAAGAGCTATTTGCCAGAGCAAGTTTCAAGTTTCTGATAATAATTCTGAGAATGGTGTACTCAATTTCCT